AAAATAAACACCGGTATTCGGTATGAACCGGTATCCCGCCCAGCACTAGTGTACAGTATATGTCAGTTCTTGCCACTTTATTCTAAACTTTTCCCATTAGTGATCACCAATCACCTTGAACTCGTCGTCACCTCATCCATGTTTATCGTCTGAAAGGGCTCTCCTTTTTTGACACCTTTATGTACTCGTAGACCCTCCATTGTCCAAGATGCCGTTTCAAGAAGCCTTTATCACCCTTAATGTTATGAGGTGCAAAAGTGTGTTTTATGCTTGATCGAGCCCCGTTCTGCTCAAAGCGGTTCCTGACCTCCCAAAGTCTAAACTGGTTGCTGTGCTTCAAAATCGCTGCTTGCATTTTCACTTGAACCCATATAACATCCTTCATTGGGTAATATAGATGCTGAGGTCTTATATCAAGCTAATTTTGCTGTTGGTGTGACGTTACAATGAAAATGATTGACCCGCTGACTTTTTAATGTGCATGTAATATTTGCATATGCATATGAGCATATATCACGGCTCTTTGATCTGTCTGCTTGACCGTGGGCCGTCTCGGTCCCTGTGCTGCGTGACACAGAGTGGTGATTTAAAAGTCTGGCTGGCGTTCAGCCCTGGAGGGTTCCTCTCCCTCTTAAATCTGCGACCCAAAGATGCTGATTCCCAACGAGAGGGTGACCGCATTAATTTCCACTGATTTAATCATAGTGCTGCAAAAATGACCTGTGACTGGCAAGAGAGCCTGTTCCTCCTTCTCACTGTCACGGGTGCATCTGAGGAGCCACTTCAACAACAAATGCCACAATTTTAATATTCTCAGGTCTCCTCTTATATGCAGAGCTTCTTTTTCCATATCTCAGTCCTATTCATGGGATTCTTGAGACAGAAAACATGCTTTTTCCACCCGTCTTTTTAATTAGTTCAATTCTTTTGTTTGCTTGATGGTTGGTTGGTTTTAGGAATATGATTATACGTTGGCTGCTTCAAATTTCTTTCTTTCTTTCTTTCTTTCTTTCTTTCTTTCTTTCTTTCCTATAATGACATTATAGATTAGATATCATGACCAAACAATATGTTATATTGTGTTATAAAAATAACTGTTAGTTCATGGTACTTAATATATACTGTCATCATTATTATTTGTGTCCCTGGACCACAAAACCAGTCATAAGGGTCAATTTTTTTGAAATTGAGATTTATACATCATCTGAATGAGCTGAATAAATAAGCTTTCCATTGATGTATGGTTTGTTATGATAGGACAATATTTGGCCGAGATACAACTATTTGAATATCTGGAATCTGAGGGTGCAAAAATAAAAAAACCTAAATATTGAGAAACTTGCCTTTAAATCTGTCCAAATGAAGTTCTTAGCAATGCATATTACTAATCAAAAATTAGTAAGTATATCTACGGTAGGAAATTTACAAAATATCTTCATGGAACATGATCTTTACTTAATATCCTAATGATTTTTGGCATAAAAGAAAAATCGATAATTTTGACCCATACAAATATACCCGTGCAACTTAAGACTGGTTTTGTGGTCCAGGGTCACATTTATAACTAGATTGTTTAAAAGTTCTTTAAGGAAGTTGTTTGTTGATGGCTGACAGTGGTAGGGAATAGCTGCACAGTAACTATATTGTGTTTTTACCATTTTAGCTGAAACATTGTATTGACCAATCAGCATCCAGAACCAGTTTTTATAAAACGTTTGAGAGTTTTCACCATGACAAGTGACACAGATGTGTTTCTCTCACAATGTGCTCCACACCTGCATGGACGGGGTAAATTGACAGTGTTATTTTTATAAAGCAACAGCAAATAGAATTAGCCTCTCATTTCCAGCAGTGTAACAAGTTTGTATTTAATTTACAGACTACAAAAGGGACAGAAGAAACACTGAAACACCATCTGGCAGAAGACCATTGCTTGTTGCATGCTGAACTCTCTATACATCTGTTTGTTTTTTTTGACAGTTTTATTCACTTTCTGTGTCTTCATTATTGCATGAACAAGGAAGAGAGTGTTTTAATATAGCAATGCGAGATCGACCTTTTGATGGTTTAATGTTGCATGTAATTTTAGTGGATGTACTGATTTTTGTTGTTTTATTGTTGTTGAAAACAGATTGGCATTACTGTACATCCGTCTCCTCCTTCATCAGTAAAGATACTTTGTGACATTATTTGCATAATTACAGTATGCTCCATTGACATTGAAAACATGATTTGGATGTTAATTTAAATGACCTCAAACACAAAGTTAAAGCGTTTAAAGAGCTTATTACTCAAAATAATCAAACGGCTTCATGGTCGTGAAAACCTAAATTCATTTTTTTCATACAAAATCACAATTTTATCATCACAATGCTATGACTCGATTCTTAAAATATCTCACAATGTTGAATTTATTTTCACAAAAATGACTATTATGAGATTATTCACAAAACACTACAACTTTATTTCCAAATTTTAATCATGGAAATTTGTGAATGTACATTTTTGGTCTAAATATTTTATCTAGATGTTTTTTTTTCCCCTTGCGCTTGCTTGCAAGTCATTGTGATGTCCAATTTGTGAGCCTTTTTTGAAAAACAGATTTCTATTATATTTATTTCCTAACTGGAACAAAAATAATTTTAAATCATTCATCAGAAAATTTGACAATGGTTTTTAAAACAAGTAGAAAAGCCCTAAATTTACCGGTCAAAATGTGAGGAAACCCTGATAAAGAGTCCTAAGGTATACGGGAGTCTGCTTGGAAGAATTGTGCACATTATTGTATTTTTTTTTTGCAAAGTCTGCCACATTGAAAAGTGTAAAGAAAGTCTGAAGAAATTCATAAGTCTTGTGGCAGTGCACACTTTTCCCATGCAGGCTGTTGAACAAAAGCATCCTTGTGTAAGGGGGTGTATGCCTCCACTTTTTCTCTTCTCTCTCTCTCTCCGATCCCCACTTTCATCCCTCTCTCCTCCGATCTCCCAGCTGACAACTGCAACCCCTTCATCTTCCATCTCTCCACCTTTCCTTTTTCTCTCTCTCTTCGCCCTCCTTCTCAAACTATCATACTCTCTCTCTGTCTCCTGCCTCGGGTCTCCTTTTCCAATCAGCACAGAACACACCTGTTTTTTTTGGAGTGTCTCTCTTATTTTTCTCACGCTTGACGGACTGCAGGGGCGAGGAGGGCAGGAAAGAATGGGAAAGAGGAGGCGAAGGAGGAGGAGACGTCTCACCGGGGTTGCAGGACAGATTCCTCTTTTATGAGGAGCGCTTGGTATTCGGGACATGGTCCGGCCTTTAGAGCCCTCGTGATTCATAGCAGAGAGTGTCACGGCCCGTGGCGACGGCTGGACACACTCGGCCTGAGTTTTACAGAGCACGTCACTTTCCCTGCTTTAAAAGCATCTTCGGCAGAGAAGATAAAAAGGTCACCAGTGTTTTAGCTGCCTTCTGAAGATCTAATTGTGCCGCTGACTTTTGTCAGCATTTTGATATGAAAGCTTTTGAAAATGGCAGAACTGCACGAATGTGGATGCATGAAGGTTTTTTTTCTTGAGGTGTGTGTGTGTACGCACAACCTGGTCTCTTTTATTCTCTGCCTGTATTGATTTGCCACCAGGAGAGTATTGAAGATGGTCTTTATTTTTAATTAAAGTTCACAAAGCCCATATTGAGAAGGCTAGCAGGCTTCTGACCCAAGCCTCACTGCATAAGACCTGCGCTTCCTAATGCCAAGATGGGGGAAAAAAACCCATCGATGAGCTCAGGGTGTTGAAATAACCTCTGATTTACGGCCCCCAGAAACTGCAGGGTTTTATCATATTTCCCTACATGAGCTCAGATATTTCTTCTGTCATGCACTGTGCATGTGAAAGTGCACTTTGTGCCGTCACATGGGGGCACTGTTAGGCTGTGCATCGCTGGAAATCAAGCCGTACATCTCAAAATGGTCGCTGCATGCAAACACACACTCTCACACTCTTTTCATCTCCTCCTCTTCACCCTTGTTGCACGAAAAACACATACACGGATTCAGTAGGATTCTGAATGACACCATTTAGAAAGTGCTCTTTTATTATCAAGTGCCATAATGTATGGATTTAGTTCCCCTGCACAGTGGTACGTAGAGGCGATTGGCGGGACTCTTGGTGAAATTGTGGTGGCACTCTGCCTGATGAGTGTGAATGGTGTATAATTGGTCTTTAATGCTAATTCTTTCTCCATGTCAGGCGTACGGGATGTCCGTCCTGCCGCTGAACCTGATTAGAGGCACGCGCAGCATCCTGTATGAGCGGCTGGAGAACACTGAAGACACGGAGGAGGTGGAGCACCAGATAGACAAGCTCAAAGCCAAGGTCTGTTTGTGTGTGTGAACTGAATTCAGATCAGAGCTCTGCTCACTTTATTTAGGATCAACTGCTTGTCTGTTGCTGTCCTTGAGGTCAGTGGTTCTCGACTGGTGGGTCTCGACCCAAAATTGGTCTGAGGGCTGTCAGCAGATGCAAATAAAGAATACAATTTGTATACTACTGTTCAAAAAGTTTGGGATAGTCTTAATACTTTTATTCAGCAAAGATGCATTAAACTGATAAAAAATTACATTGATAAAGATAATGTTTTTGAGCAGCAAATCAGCATATTAGAATGATTTCTGAAGGATCATGTGACTGAAGACTAGAGTAATGGCTGTTGAAAATCACAGGAATAAACACTTTAAAATATATTAAAAAAGAAAATAATTATTTTGAATTATAATAGTATTTATTTTACAATGATATATTTTTGATCTAATAATTGCAGCCTGGGTGAGTGTAAGAGTCTTCTTTCAAAAACATCTTACTGACAACCAAACTATTGGACGGAAGTGTAGTTAAGTAAAATAAAAAAGCTTAAAAGGAAGAAGAAACACTTCCCATATCTTCCTCTATGTTGGTGTCAAAGGTTTTACAGTGTTTTGGGCAAAAAAAATATCTGTCATTTGGTTGAAACTACACAAATTAGGTAGAATCCAACATGGTTAGGTTAGATGACATCCCTTGTCAGTATAAACCATGAACAGAATAGCAAAAACTAAAGGAAAATATGACCTAGACCACACTAAATATTGGTTTACAAACAAACCTGTAGCTGTAACTGTAGATCATTTAATTGAATCACCAAATGCATAAATGTAAACAAGGACAAGCAATGGTTTGTACCAACCTCAGCTTTTTGTGGTAATAATTGGCTGCCATCAAAATTCAAAAGACATTTTGAATTTGAAACCAAATACAATATAAAAACCAGTATGATGTATTTTTATGCAATAAGCAGTTTTGTACCTTTCTCGTCAGTGTGCCGATGGGCGTCCTCTCTCTATGAGAGACCGGAGGAACCTCCAGGATCTTGAAGACAAGTTTCAGGTGCTCCGTCGACAGGGCCGTCACCTTGAGATTGCAGAGAGGAACTGCTGCAATAAAGTGGGCTCAGCTCTCCGTCCCATGAAGGTGTTGAGTTTTACCTCAGATAAACTTTGTTGACTTGTACATGTGCCTTTTGCAGTTTCATCTACTCCTGATTGCTCACATTGATGTGGTTCTGGTTGTGACAGTGTTGCGTGTTTGGCTTTGAATCAGAGGTCATGCAAAAAGAATTCCAATTTTTTTATGATCTTTTTGAAATTACTTTTTGTTAGTGTACTCTCAAAACAAGATTAAAAAAAAAAATCTCAAAGAGACCATCTATTGAAACGAACTCAAAAATGACTGGTTCTGAATATGTACAACTTTCTGATTTCTGATCACATTTATTTTAACAAGGTGGCACAAAATAGTTTTAATTCTTAGGGTGAGAGAAAGACTAAATTATGACAAAACCACTTCAAAAAATAAAAAGCTGATGACTGTAATGAGGATTTTTGGCAAATAAACTTGAATAGACTCAGTAGTTCAGTATCAGTTTTGAAAGAATACAATTTGTTTAACTCATACTTTGGATCAAACATTAAATGCTTCAAATCATAAACAGCTGTCTTCCCACACACCGACACAACTGAATATCCAGAGGTGACGGATCTCTCTGATGGAATAAGAGTGGCATTTGTAAGAGATTTTAAAGTCAAATTATGCCAGATCAAGTTCAGCTCTTTGTGAACTGCAATCATCACCCTGTTGCACCACATTTTATCAGAAGCCATTCAAATGGGTTGTATTTTCTCAAAAGTCATGAAGTCAAAATTGACCCTATTTTCTTCCACAATAAGTGTTCCTGGTCTTTATCAGAATGTGTTTCTGCATCTGAAATAACTTTTCTTTCTTTATTCTGTCAGGGTGTTTTTTTTTTGTGTTAAGGTTAACTGGTAATTTGGTAATTTAATGGCTGTTACCATTCATTTAATGAAAGTTATTGCAATAATAGTAAATAAATGTAGATGCTGTCTGCAAACTCTCATTCAGGTCTGTTTGAATTTTCTTTCACTTGTAAATCCATTACATTATGGAAGTAAAATGGGTTGCAGATGCCATTTCATGTTTACTTAAAAAATTCCATTGGTTTTGCGATAAAATCATCAGAGCACTTGCATAAAGTATGATTTACGTGTTTTATATAAGTTTAGACTTATATATACTTACTATACTGTAACACTTGCTTACCATTTATATTCTTTTCCCTTTTGATGTTTTATTTCAAGCATTTTCATCATCTTGTTCCTAATTAATTGTTCCATTATGTCACTATCCTATCTTGCAAAGTCTATCAAGGGGGAGGTGTGAAGAAAATTAATTTTCCTGGTGACTTTGATGTAAACCGTACATTATGACTTCATTTGAATGCCAACACATATTCCCAAGAATATCAAGAAAACCTTTGGGTTTTATCACCTTGGCACAGATTTTCCAAACTGAGTAACCACTTTGCTAGATGCATTATTTCACCTTATTACTGTGCTTTCGTCCAGCTAATGAAGCCATTTTTTTATTGAATATATAATATTTCTATTTATTTATTTGGCAGCTCTTTTTCGATATGTGTGCTCGCTGGGATTGACCTTGAATGTGTTAAAACCAAATTCTAACATGCTCTAGTAGGACTTTCTTTCTCCTGTGGGACACAAAAAGTGATGTTTAAAGAATATCCTGGCTGTTCACGTGAACTGAGGCTATTAAGCATGAAAATAGCAAAATGTGGTTGAGTAAATGATGACAGAATTTCCATTTTCAGAGAACTGTCTTTTTAAATATACATCTAGTGATGCAAAAACATTGCTGTGATTGTCACAAACATTCTGCACTCCTCTAGCCTATCTTTAAAATGTTTGCTGTATTTCATTCACTTGCTGTTATTCTTTGCATCGTTTCTTCTCCCAGCATGCTCTGCGCCAGAGGGGTTCCTCATTTCTGTCTTTAGCGGCCCACTAGCAGCAGACATGAACATGGCACTCTAATGATAGACTCCAAACTCTATTTATACCTAAACTAGGCTTGAGATTGACTAATTTTCCCCATAAGAGCTTCGGAGGAAATGCATACTGAGAGGAATCTGTCTGCCAAACAGATCTCTCCATAAATCACTGCACCTTGTTTACGTCGCCATGATGCGCTGCGCTTGTTTTAGCTTAGCATATGTCTTTGATTTACAGTGCAAATTTAACGATTTAGTGCAAAGGTCCTCTTCATATTCTCCAAGGGCCATTTTCAGGCTCGATTCGCGCTCCCTGCTGTGAAGTCTCACGTGTAGTTTGTTGTCGCTAACACAACATGTGTACTGATATTCAACACGTTTCAATGCACCTTGCTGTGAGAGCCAATGGCGTTACGTAATAGAGTTGCGTAGAAAGTGAGGCCCAGTGGGTGGTTTGTTAACTGTTGCATGGGTGGTCCAATGGGGCGATTTGATGCGTGTGAGTCCCTGCTGATGAGTTTAGATAAATTCAGCTGTCAGCACAGACTAATAGATCGCGAGGTACATGAGCACACACTTCTATTACCCTTTAATGTGGACCCGGCAGATGTGATTGATTCCATTAAGAGAGCAGGTTAATTTACCTAAATTCTGTATCAGATTGATTGATTAAGTTTGGTTGATTTTAATTATTGTGTTTACCGTTTCATCTGCGGCGGAAATTGGTTCGGAAAATTGAAAGTGGTGTATTGGAGGTGCTTAGGTATTTTAATGAGCCTTCAGAAGATGAAACGCAACACTTACCATGCAAATTGCACATATTTCCTCCCTTTGCGACAAGTAACGAGCACGCTGGATTTATACGTATAGTCGTCACGGTGGTTCGCTTGTAACCGTATAGTTGTAGTAGATGTGCACGCGTGTCAAGAGGTTTGCACATTAGAACCCAGCTGGCCCCGGGAATGACAGCAGTGGCAGGTGGTCGAAAGTCCAATTATAAAATGAAATAAACCTGTTTATGAAGCCTGTGTGAGTGTGATACCTATAGAGGCTTTCATTATCATTCAAAGGATATTAAAAAAATCTCTCCCGTAATGCACTTTCAGACAGTGCACTGATAACGCAGCCCTTGGCAGAGCTCAGAGCAAGGACGATTATGGACTGGGCCAATGTAACCAGGGGCGTCTGACTGCCAGGGGCCTCGAGCAGGCCATTATGGCCAAACATGGGAAAATAAGCCGCTGCAGATGTAAAATTGATATAGATAACAAACAGAGATTGAATGTGTGCACAGTGTGAAATAAACAAAGCAATGAGAGAAGTTAACTGTTTATGTGCCTTCCTCAAGGCAACTAAGCATCCTTAATGCTATGTTGTATAGTTCATTGGTATTTTGGAGATTGTGTTCTATTTTGTGGTACATTGTGTTCTATTTTACTCTTTTTTTGCACTTAAAGGCCCCTTTACACAGCCAATTTAAGGCTGCTCTGTGCCTGCTCAAAGGTCAGTGTGAAGACGCAATGCTGAATCAAAGACTAAATTATGCTTGCTCAGACCCGCCTCAGCCCCTAGTATCAACATATGCGGAACGGCTTGTGCATGCGACAGCGGAAATTACAGATTACCGTTTATAAAGTTTTAAATATTAATATTATTCTTACAAAAACACATCAGTTCGCTACAAGAGGCCTTTATTCACCCCCCGGAGCCATGTGAGGCACTTTTTATTATGGATGGATGCACTTTATTGGACTTCTTTTGGACTGTTGAATGAAAACACCCACCCACTGAAATTATAATGCTTGTAAGAGCCATGACATTTTTTAGTACTCCAATTAGATTCGTCTTAAAGAAGAAAGTCGTATACACCTAGGATGCCTTGAGGGTGAGTAAATCATGGAGTAATTTAAATTTTTGGGTGAACTGTCCCTTTAATCCACTTCTGAGCAGCATTGAACAGTCTATGTGTAGACACCTAAATGCCACTTCAGAAGCACTTCTCTGCAACCTTTAAGTTTAAATTAGGCCTTTTTTAAAGATTTATTTTTGGCATTTTTATGCCTTTAGGACAGGAAGTGAAGTGGGAGAGTGAGTGGGGGATGTGATTGGGAAAAGTCCACAAGCTGAGACTCGAACTCGGGACGCCCGGAGCAAAACGGCGCTACATGTCGGCGTGCTGCCTACGAGGCTATCGACACCGACAAATTTGGCATAATTTTGCCTCTAAAAATGGCCTCATTTCTTTTTTCTGTTTTTATGGGCATGATGTTTCAGTAGATGCTTGTGGAAATGTCTTCTCTAAGGGGAACAATAACACAGGAAAAACATTTTAAACATGTTGACATGTAACCTCAGGTACCTTCCTAAAGGGACTTAAAACAGGCACACGTGAGTTTAGGTAGCTGTGTTTATGCTCTATATTGAAGACTGCTGTTTTGTTGTGTAGCTGAAGGCATGAATAATGAATTGCCTGATGCTGTAACTTTTGTTATTATTAATGTACTCCTTTCTGTAAAGTTAAAGCTCTGGCTGTCACTGTTATTACAGCTATAACTGCAAGCTTTTATTATTGGTATTACAGCAACAGCTTGAGACATAAATTCCTAATATATGCTTAGAATAGCTCCAGCTGTGTTTTTAACCACAAAGCGTAATTCTAGCATCACTAATAACTCGCAGTCATTCATTTGAATTAGTTATCGATTATGTCTCGAAGGCGGATTCACGCTCATTTACAAATCTATGTTCTCGCTACAGTTCACAATCTGTCATATTGTTCTTGAGGGAAATGTGTGTTTAATGCGAATGGCACTTGCTTTTGTGAATATTCGTTAGGAGTCAGAATTGGTATTAGCATTGTTTGGTCTAAACATTGCCTGTAATGTAATCATTATATAAAACAATGTTAGCAGCATAAATGTGAAATATGTATTCTGTATTATTATAGAAGACTGCTCTCAAAATTAGAGACAGGCAGACAGATGGGTATAGATGTGTCCATCTTATATGTCTCTCTCGTTATAAGTATTTTCTGCTTGTTCTAAATTAGTTTTTTCGTCTTTTTTCTTTTTGCCACCTCTTTTCCTTTGTTTTGTGAAAATCTGGAGTGATTACTGCACACGTCAGGGTTTTGTTTACTCCCTCAAGTCAAGCAGACGTGAGCTCCGGGAGGCCAGTCAAAGGCAGCCGTTCAGTCTGGCATATTGGTTTTGTTTTGCTTTGTGGGCTGTGAGTGTTTGTGCCGCCGTCTTTGTTCATTTACTCTTTCCTCTGCAGTTCAGTCTGTTCCTTATTTAGAGAGCTTGTGACCACATCGTCCATATTACTCTTGGTGACTGTCAGTCTGAGGTGGGTCGCACCATATGGCCATGTGTAAAAAATGACACGACCTCTGGGTTAGACATGATGGACCAATAGGGAGTTTCAGTCCTTTGCACAAAAATGTGGTGCTGAAGTGTGTATTTTTTCATACTAATATATGTGTGTTTGTAAATTAGTGTTGAGGAGTAACTAAGTAGTAGAAATTTAATGAATCACTTTGTTCAGACGGGGCATTTCAATGAACTGCTTCAAAAGAATCAATTCACTAATTCCTTTAAAGGGATAGTTCCCTCTAAAATAAATGTTTTTGTCATCATTTGCTCACCCTCATTTCACACCAAACCCACGTGATTTTCTTTTTATTCAGAATTGAAGAAGAACATCCAGGCAACTCTTTTCAGTATTATGAGAGTAAATAAGGACTGGGGCTGTCTTTAATGAATCAGTTTGTTCAGACGGGGCATTTCAATGAACTGTTTCAAAAGAATCAATTCACTAATTCCTTTAAAGGGATAGTTCCCTCTAAAATAAATTTTTTTGTCATCATTTGCTCACCCTCATTTCACACCAAACCCACGTGATTTTCTTTTTATTCAGAATTGAAGAAGAACATCCAGGCAACTCTTTTCAGTATTATGAGAGTAAATAAGGACTGGGGCTGTCAAGCTTCACAGTGACAAAAAACACAATAAAATTCATCCATATGACTCATGCACTATATTCCAAGTCTTCTAAAGCTATACGATACTTTGTGTGAAGAACTATCCGATATCTTCATATGACTTCAGAAGACTTGGAATATAGTGCATAAGTCATGTGGACTAGTTTTTATGGTACTTTTATGCCTTTTGTGAAGCTTTTCCATTTTTTCTGCTCGTTTCCTATTCAGAATAATTGCATAGAAACGAGCAACCAGTGAATTATTTATCGTTCATAGTGGAAGAAAAAAGTCATATGGGTTTAGAATGGATCAGTAATTTTTTATTTAAATTTTTTTTTTTATGAACTAAATGTATTTTATAGCATAATGAATGTTTAGAATGTGTAGTTATTAATGTCTGTTTGTCATTGTTATTTTCAATTAATTTTTCAATCAATTAAAATATTGCTATTTTAAATAAATAATAGGAAAAATGTTAGTTTTATAATAAAACATTTAATTTATTTTAAATCTTTGCATATCTCTATGGTATTTTCTTTTTTGGAAGAAATGTATACTTTTATTCAGCAAGGACACATTACATTAATCAGAAGTAACATTAAAGACTTTTACATTGTTACAAAATATTTCCATCTCAAATAAATGTTTTTCTTTTGTTCTTTCTATTCATTAAAATAAATCCTGAAAAACTAAGCAGCACATTTTGTTTTTTAATCTGTCATGTATTTTTGTGTGTTTTCTGTGGTTGTGTCTTGTGATTTTGTGATATTTCAATAAGGATAGTTTCTAAAATAAAGTGACTAAACTTTTAAAGTAGTTTGTCCAACACGTTTGTAACTTTGTCTCTTTTTGGTCTTGTCAGATCTTGCTCGGGGTCTTCTTCATCCTGGTGGCTCTTTTGTTCTTCGTGACCTTGTTTATTTCTAAGTAAGTTCCATTAACCGGTATGAAATGTCACTCTGATGACAGATTCTACCCCACTGTTTTTCTTACATTCACACATTACGAACAAATGACTGAAAAGGCCCAGGAAGGATGGCGTCCCTTCAGAGCACAGTGCATTTCAGGGACACTTTGATTCAGTGCTGGAGTTACCATAAATCTGTTGTTCTTGTACACACACATTCATCAACACCTGCAGCGCTCTAAATTATCTCATACTTACAATAATGTAGCATCATTCTATAGCAGACCATGGAGAACTGTAGTTAATGATGTTTTTAATTCAGTCTCTTATGTGATGATGCTGTTAAATGTGTTTGTCTTGCAGTCTGGATAAAGCTTTACATTCAGCTGGTATCAGCACTGGATTTATCATCTTTGGGACCAACCTAACCAACCCTCTTAATGAGCTACTGCTGGCGCTGCAACCGGTGAGCAGCCTTCTCTTTTTCTTTCGTCACGTTACGTTTGTGTCCTCGACATGAGTGCTAGTGACAGTTGTGTGCAACCAGAGCTGTGTAATGACTTGGGAGGAGAAAGTACCAGAATGGAAAGCATGGTTCACTTTGGTTTTACTACGAAACTTATCAGCAGAACAGCACTTGCTTGTGCCTGTTGCAAGAGATGTGAAGAATGCGATCTGCTCTCCGTAGGCAATTTCTGCCAGGACAAGCAGCAGCATTCTGTAATTGGCAAGAGCACACTGTCAATCAAAAGTTTGGACACACCTACTCATTCCTTATTATTGCTATTTCCTTCATATTTGAATGTTTCTTGATATTTGAATGAAAAACTGTAAAATAGAAAAAAATTAAAGCATGATAATTATGTAGTGGCCAATCAATTTTAAATAAACTGATGAAGGGCATCATGTGATGCTTTTAAAGCAGTATTGAAGAGTTTCATGTGCCCTTGTTGGCTGCTGTTCTTCTTCAACTTTGTAATATGTAGTAGTAATAATAATAATAATAATACGTTTTCCAACAAAAATTTCCAACAAAAAAAAGGATTTAAAATGTTGTTTTCTTAAGAAATTCATGATTCATCTTTCAAAAGTTTGGAGTTAGTAATATTTTAATGTTTTTGATAGGCTGTTATTATTATAATAATTAAAATATTATTACAATTTAAAATTATTTTTTTTCTATTTTAATATTTTTAAAATGTAATTTATTCCTTTGATGCAAAGCTGAATTTTCAGCAGCCATTACTCCAGGTTTCTTTGAATCTTCAGAAATCATTTTAATGTTCTGATTTGATACTCAAGAAACATATTTATTTTTGTCAATGTTTAAAATCAATATTTTTTGCAGAAACTGGGATGCATTCTTTGACGAATACAAAGTTCAAAGTAGGGCTGGGCGATATAGCTAAAAAATTTATCAGCGATATAATGTTTCATATCGTTCGGTATCGATAATTATTGATCTTTTTTATAACCTTTTTTAAAACAAAGAGCAATAGAAAAAAATGTTTAAATTTAACTACTGTATTTTTAAATTAACCCAATTTATTGAGACAAACAACAAATATTTTTTGTTTTAACAATCAAACACAAAATAAAAATTAATAAAATATCTAATTTCTAATGTTTTATATGCAGATTAAATAGGAGGGCGCAATGAACAAAATAATGCAGCACATTTAAATTGTCAACGCAAGGAAGTAACTCTATAAAAAAACGTACATTTCGTCTAAATTAACTCATAAAAATCAAATATAATTTCGTAAATTGCATAAACAATTATTAACAAAACAGCATCATTATCTATGCATTGCTTAATCCAAAGAGCTGAATCACAATTCACACAGATTGCATTTAAAACATATGAGACGCAGTGAAAAGGAATAAACCTCCACAAATCCGTGACGTGTTTTCTAAAAGTTTAAACTGTGCATGGCTTTCTAAACATCTCTTGTGAGACGCGAGTGCAGCAGTCATATTTGTCCGACTAAAAAAATGCGCTGAATATGCGTTCTGTGTGAATGGCTTGGTTTCGGTTTTAACCTAATCAAGATCTTCTCCGCATTGAGCTTCAAAATTTCTCGAATATTTTGAATGAATAACGCGCGTCTCGTGGGCTAGACTAACAAAACATTAAAATGCAACAACGTCACTTACATCATCACCGCATCTCGCGCGCCACTGATGACGCTCCCTGATACACACCTAACATTCCAAATGTTTATTTTAAATTCGACTAATATGCATTCTTTATTTACAATCTCCTCATCACAGGCAGGCACAGCACTCAATTCAGCATGTGTTCGTGTTTGTGCAAACACAAAATAAAAATTAATAAAATATCTAATTTCTAATGTTTTATATGCAGATTAAATAGGAGGGCGCAATGAACAAAATAATGCAGCACATTTAAATTGTCAACGCAAGGAAGTAACTCTATAAAAAAACGTACATTTCGTCTAAATTAACTCATAAAAATCAAATATAATTTCGTAAATTGCATAAACAATTATTAACAAAACAGCATCATGTATTTATGTATTGCTTAATCCAAAGAGCCGCAGCACCATTCACACAGACTGCATTTAAAA